AATTAAGATTTTTTTGTTCTAGTTTTGTACATTTTTATCGTAAGTTCACCAATTTTTTTCTGTTTGCCCACAGAGCCTCCTGTCCCCCACCATGTTGGCTTCATGCCACTCGGCTCCATGCCACAAAAGGCTGCTGGCCCCTTGTTTAAAACACCCTTTTCTTTCTAATATTTGGAAAACCGGAAGTTAACGCTGGACCGGAAGTGCTCGCAAGATGAACAGAGTGGTCACTCATTGATAGTGCCCCTAAAAACTTTGGCTCCTTCGAAATGAGCCATTATTGCATCTCGTTGATACTTCAACGTCCGCCGGTGCTTCTAACCGCGACGCAGAGAACTTATCGGCGCTCCGAATAAGTGGGTCGATAAGTATTAACGCGACAGCGTTGAACGGCTCGTTTCGTAGGCCGGCGTGGGCGTCGTTGGATGTGAGCGGAAACGCAGCACGTTTTCGTGTTCGAAAAATCGAGAAATATGCAAATAAAATAATAAACGTTTCCCCGTCCGAGTGAGGAGCTCACGCAGGTCATCTGCGCGGCAAGCAAGTGCTCTACCACAAAGCCGCGATATTTGTCGACGCTGCCTTGGAGAAAAACAATACACCATATGAACGTCTTGTAGTGGAAACAGTGTCTTTAACGCATCAAATATTGCGTGAGAGAAGCATAGAATCACACCAGCCGTCAAAAAAAAAAAACGTGAATTGAGCAATGAGTGGGTGACACACCCATTAAAAAGTTCTCGGACATGTTCAATCGGTCATCATCAGCAGAAGCATCAACAAAGTGAACGGCTGCGTAGGTTCGCGTGTTGGCCCAGAGACGTGTAGTGGGCCCTTTGCTGATTCGAAATAGAAATAATTATGGCGCAGTGAATCACTTATGAGTGTGTTCGTAATAGGCTTTCAATGGTACTTTGAAACGGCCAATGATATGCGCGCGCAGTCGTTAGCTTTTTCTTTACGGCACGGTTAACGCATGCACCGAGAACCGAAGCGGCTTTGCAATTCAGAAGGCAGTGCACGCGAGTCCCGATTACGCAATCGTGATCTGCTCTTGAAGCCGAGGCTCGAGCGTCCCCCAATTTTTCACAATTGTCTGCTGTGCAGCTTTTCTCCGCAAGACTTATTGCTACCGCCGAAGCGGCCACGACGCGGTGCAAACCAATGTCTTGAAGAAACGTGTGGGTGGAAACACTCATGTCCGGCAGGCAGAGCCGGATACGTGATCTTTCGTCTTTTCTTTCAACACTGTCTGTTTGTGCGTCACTAGCGAGCGCCAGACAAAACAAGTTCTCCTGATACGACTCATCTTACGAAACTTTCGCACGTGGTTGCACCGACCTGAGAAACCCTCTTACTTTCGACAGCCAAGACGTTATAATTCGGTCTCTCTTAATTCATTTAATTACCGTCAGAAGTATATACTACCACTCTCGAGAGTGGGTATAAAGAAAAACATCGATTCGCGACCGTTCGAACGATTCGCACAAGTCTCACTAAATAAGGTCCCTACTAATGGTTTGTTGCGGGTTGCGTCACTTTCCTGTATTATACACGACTACATCACTCGCGTTGCGTAACATCTCCTGGTCGCGCTCGCCCGAATATAGCCGCTTTACAACGCCGCTTACTCATCCTCGACAGACGATGCGGGGGAAGCAGTGATGTCACACTGCAGGGCGTCGCCGAAGGTTGTGGCAACTGCAGTCTTCGACAATTTGGTTCCGGTTCCCTGCGTGGAAGTAGCCAGACTTCATCGAATATGTAGATAGTGGCAACATCACCCTTTTCTGAATCTTAAAGCGGACGTGGACATCTCGTATAAATATATGACATTCTTCAATTTATCACATAGTTACTGTTCAGTTCTTGCCCCGACTTATTTTACGCTCCACTACAGTGACCAAAGCAATCCTGCAAAAGCGAGTAAACATATCTGGTGTTTTTTATATTTACAAGCTTTGCGGACACAATTTCTCTAACACCCAGAGTAGCAGTAGAATCGAGATGTCCTTCTATATAGGGAGATCCATGGTCACTGGCATTCCAATCCCCCCCCCCCCCCCCAAACGGCAATGCCACAATAATTTTTGTCTCAGCTGAGGAATAACTATAACACATTTTTGTCGTAACACGGCCTATGATGTCTGCTATACGTAGACACGCATGCGTTATAAACGTTTGACCAGTAGAAAGTAGTTTTTAGCCTATGGAAGAATATACCACTTTTTCATTTTAGTTTTCAGGATCCTGGTAATTATTCTGTACTATCGTTCGGCTTCGCACTCAAAGTTCCTCTCGGCATTACTACCTGCCGGTATAAGAAAGCCCGAGTGCCAGCTAATAGTTTCGCGGCCAGAAAACTTGGCAAGTATTTAGGGTCGCTAAAAAACGCTGCACGGCATGCCGCGCCAAACAGGTGTAGGTGAGATTGACGGAAATAGACACAGAGCACTGCAAAGCCAAATTTTATGCTCTAAATGATCAGAAATATCTGTTCCTTTAATTGAACTTTAATTACAAACTGACACCCATAAAGTGGAAATTTCGTACCGATTTTATGCCGTTCTGCAGCCGCGCAGCTCGCCAGGGTTCCACAATGCGTTAGTTTAACTGTACACGTGCAGTCGCACAAACTACACCTTTCAAAAAATTACAATCCCTTCGTTGCGACAAATCCGCGGGCGGCACTTTCTTTCGACCAGCTCAATACGCGCTTATCTCAAAGCGCGACACGTGACGTAGACGGCACGCAGCTGTCAAGTGGGGCCTGTTAAATGGACGGGCGTGCAATAGCAGCCAAACACGACAGCTGCGCTGTCGTGTTTGGCTGCTCAGGTTTTTGAAGGGCGAGTGATTGCGGCAAGAAAGTTTGTGCTCGGTTCCATGAAATCCCTTTCGGTTGATGTCACCCAGCGTGAGGGAAAAAAAAAATGCCATTGGCATCTCTTGTGGAGTGCAGTGTAGATTTGAACCATATGCTCTGTGGTTGGGCATCAAGTGACACTTACGCCAAGAACAAGCAACAGTGGGCCAAAGTGCTAAGAAGTGCTTCACTAGCAGACCAACTTTGAACTGTCCAGGAGGCCCGCGAGGCGGCGGAGAGCGTCGGGCTCTCTGTCCCGACGTGGGAGATGCCCTCTACACCTGGCGTCTAGCCGAGTGTCCTTCAGGATCCCTGTTTGGGTAATAAATTTTCACCACCACCACCGCCTCTTATGGAAAATTTTGAATTGTTGGTTCACTCAACCGATTTTTCACCACACGACAGCTGCGTTCGTATAATTTGTCGGTGGAGGAAGACGACACTTTGTTCCTTAAAATAATTGCTGTGCTTTCACGTCCCAAAACCACGATATGAAGCCGCTGGAGGACTCCGTGAATTTCGGTGCCACCTGGGGTTCTTTTACGTGCACCAAAATTTAGATATACCGGCCGCAAGCATTTTCACCTCTGTTGAAAGTAGGACCACCACGGCCGAAATTCATCTTCGGGTCAACAAAGGAGCACCAAACTACTAAACCATCGTGGTGCTTTGTTCTTATAAATATACGGTTCTCTGAATAACCCACACCCATCTTCATTTGGCACGCCCTCTATCATCATTTTTGTATTAATGGGAAATAAACTGAACACATTATTTTAGGAAACAATTGATATTACGAAAATCGAGGACACATGCAGAGAAAGAGAGAGATAGAGAGAAAGAGAGAGATAGAGAGAAAGAAAGAGAGAGGTATTCAAGGAACTGTGGTCCATCGAGTGTGACAACGGTTTACAACACAACATGGATCTCAGCTACATATGTATATTCGTATACCTACATGGACGTTGTACATACTGTGAATATACGCTACATGTCCTTGTTTTTGCCTTGATAGCTCACCCTTATTTGTATATGCATTTGAATGCCCTTGTAAAAGTAAATAATATATTTTGTATAATTTGATTGGTTTTGCTGAGTGATCTGTGTTTAAACACAGAAACTGCAGAAAGTGTCATTATGTTAACGAGCCCATTCTACATTGATTACTCAAACATATCAGCGCAATGCACTCTCTTATTGGAACTTTTTGCGCCATGTAACACGGTCATGTGATCACTTCTCGACATCTGAACAAGTTATTGCTTGTGGAGAAGCCGGTAGTATCATAGCTACCAGCACTGCCAACATTTTTTTTTTTCGGGTGTGTCACAAGCGGGACTGATCACCTTCAGCCTCACAAAAGGGCGCATCTGCGCGGAAATGAAGGTGTGTCTTATGTAGGACACTTTTTATCAGCGAGCGTTAATTCCTGTAAGTATTGCTGCTTGTGTAAGCAAGAAGACATCTCTTCTTTGTCTCTCTTTGGGAAACGCAAATCTCTGAAGTGGACTAGGAAACAATCAAGAGGAAGGTGGTAGTGGTATTTCTCTCCGTCTTAAAAAAATATAATTATTCTTGGCTCGTAAAAGGAAAAAAAAAGAAGTGAAGGAGATCTTAAACTGCTTTGAAAAAAGTAGGCGGCAAAATATAGAGGCAATATCTGAAAAAAAAAAAAAAAAACGTGCCCAGAATACCGCGTCTCCCTAAGATAAGCAGCTGCGTCAAGTAAGTGTCAAGATGGAAGCCGCGCGGAATAGGAAACGCGAATAACGAGAATGAGTTCTTTTTTTCAGGTTCAGGGTTCAGGGCCCTTGCATACTTCAAGAAAGCAGTAAGGAAATCACCCGTCATCCGAAGTGCGAGAAAATAAATAAATAAATCGAAAGACGTGGTTACTACGAAGAGTCGCAGAAACGTCCCAAGCTGGAAACGCGCGAGGGGGCGGGTGTCGCAGGCAAAACAAGCAAAAGAGGACAGAGATCGAGAGTAAAATGAGAAATAGCAAAGAAAGAAAGAAGGACAGCTAGGGGTTTGTGCGGAGGTGAACCCGCACCGCAAAAAGCTCTCGCAAATCAGCGCGCTTGCCCTCTCCGCGCCCTCCCCCTCCTTTCCCCCTCGCCCCAGCAGCGGAGAGCGAGACCCGGCTTCGGAGCAGCGGCTGCAGCCGGCATCGCTTCTCCTGCGCTTCTTCGAGCCTCCGGTTCGTACGGTGAAGATGCCGTTGCGGACCCGTCCGCGCAGACTCGTGCGGGCCATGTTGTGGTGTTTCCTCTGCGTGTTGGTGCCGGCCCCACTCGCGGGGGCCTTCAACGTGGATCTACCTTCGGCGCTCGTGCACCGGGGTCCCGAAGGATCCATGTTCGGATTTGCCGTCACCGTGCACAGGGACCGCGGATTCAACTGGTGAGTGAGAAAAAGCGATGCACCGGAACAACGATGACGGCGTTTGTGCTGCGCGTAGACTGCTTAAGTGCGCTTGCGGAAAGTGCCATATTGCTGGAATATTGTTTTTGCTAAGTATTCTTCGGACCGTGAACAATTAGTCAACAATTCATTATTTCTAGAGAAGAAGCTTCAGATACTGTGTAAATTGTCTGCGTACGAAATTTTACGAAAACAAATCAATCGCCGATTTTCTTTTAGTTTACCGATAGAACATTCACGTCAGGTCATCATAAAAACCTGTCAAAGGACTTTAAACACAAGTTTGCAAAAGTGATACCCTCACTGCCCTAACTTAAGCGAGTTTCTTTACTTGCTTGACAAATAGTGGTGTAGTGAAGTTACTTGACGTATTATTACAATGAAAAAACTTTGTAATCCTCGAATGGGTCTTGGCAACTTGAAAGCAAATACTCACTGCTAAAGAGCTCCTGGATTATACGACCTGAGCAACACATCTGGATTAATAATAAAATTTGGGCTTTTGCGCCGCCAATACCACCATATGATTATCAGGGACATACAGTATTCTTTGAGGTGCACTGACATCTCAGAGTATACATATGCCTCTAGCATTTCGCCTCCATTGAAATGCAACGACCGCTGCTGGGTTCGAACCCGTGACCTTAGGTTAGCAGCTGAGCACTGTATAGCCTCTACGACACCGTAGTGGACCCGACACCAGGAATTGGAAATAGATTAAGTGCGCATTAGAAACTCATCACGAGGTGCTGACAGAATAATTTCCGCTTGAAATTTGCAACTGGCTTCATTTCTCATAACTTAATGTACGAAGAGTGCAACGTAGAAGTAGTTACAGCGTAACTACGGAAGCAAAAAAAAAAAAAATCAAGAACGGAAATGAGCCCTCTCTTCTATTCTTGTTTTTTTTCTCGCTTCCGTAGTTAGGCTATAACTACTTTTAGGTTGTGCTGTTCGTACATTCAGTTATGTCTTATCAGCTTGCCCAAGTTTCCACGCTTCATCACTTAATTTCTCAGTCAGCCATTCCATGACACTCGTGAGAATTTCGAGTGGAGTATACTGACGCAGAAGCAGCCATCTCACATAACGGACTCTTCTCGAAATTGTCCTGATTTTGTTCACGCAAGAGAACGTTGGCGTCACAGCAGTTGCGGCACGCAACAATACATCTGGGCCGTGCCTTTGAAGGGTCGAAATTTCGATGTAGCTTCGGGGTCCGAGAGAGAAGCTGTCGCCGTTATTCCCTCGCTCGGCCGCTCATTTGGCAAGAAGAACGAGACTGAGCATTTGGAAGGAGTCCCGGAAAACCGGGCGCGACGACAACGTATACTCGGCTGCAGCCCTCGCGAGCCAAGACAAATTAGGGACCGCCGGGCAGCGTCACTCTCGTTCCTTTTTTTAATTAACGAAGTACCGGTGTCGCGTAATTGGAGGGCCTGAAGCACCTGTTATGTTTGAAACTTGACGTTCACGGGGCATGAACTGCATTGGCAGTATCGCTGAAATCCAGTTCAAATATTTCCAGCTGTAACTGGAAATGTTTCCTTCGTGCCAACGACTAAATGCGATGTACGATTGTTTTGCAGCAGATGCTAGAGGTACACTTCTCACGGGAAGCAAATACGCGTATGGTCAAATGCACATCGCATTCGCTGTTGAATTTAGCAGCAGTGCAAGCTACTCAGCTTGAAGAATCATTAACAAAGCGACAAAAAATGTTGCGCTTGGCCCACTTGATGCATGACTGACAGTGGCAACATGTAGCGCAGCGGCATCTACTTTCGTTGTCAGAAGCAATACCAAAGCGCGACGGCCGACGGTATCGTTGAAAGCACGGAAGCGATTCGCTTCGTGTGGTAACTTCGTGCATGCATTTAAGTACAGCACTTCTGTTACAATCAAGCAGTCGTCTTCAGTGTTTTTATTTTATGATATCCACCGTTTTACTAGCATTTAGGTTCACTTATATCAGGTGGATGTGGCACTTGTATAGTTCTCCTTTCGAGTCCACAATGTATTGCAGCTGCATGCTAACAATCTCGAAGTTGTTTCACGTCGGTTTTCGAAAACATAACGAGTAAGCTAGACTGATTGTTGGCCTAGTTGGTACTTACTTACTGACATGCTTTGGCCGCAAATAACACACACACAAAGTAAAGAAACACTCAGCGACAGGCACAAGCATTTGACGCCGCTTGTGCCTGTCGTTGAGTGTTTCTTTACTTTTTGTGTGTGTGTTATTTGCGGCCAAAGCGTGTCAATGTAAACTAGAGTTCGTAGAATCATCTAAGCAACAGCGTGCATCCAGGGTACTTTTGCAACGCGAAACGGGAGCGAATCGTGATCGATTTTCCTTCTCACAGAAGGAACATTTACGTGTCGACACGTCATGGCGTTGCTGCAAGTGTTTTCGTTGCAGAGTCCGTGAATCGGCTTTTTTTCTTCGAATAGAGTGAAGCAGAAATCAGCTAACGCGGATGCTTGGGCGTGTTGGTATGACATGGCGTTTGTTTTTGTCCTCTTTTTTTTTCTTGAGCCTCGTATTACCGCTGTCTGTGTTTCCGTCAGATATTAGCACTGCTAGTTCTTTTACCTTGCATTTTTGTTTTGTTTATTGATGTAAATTCGAGATAGCACCATCGACAAATATAAAAGTCTTCCATTGTCTACAGCACGCGCGATAAGTTCATAGCAAGGATTACATTGGAAAAGGAAAAAGTAAAAGTATGACGGGCGTCTTTGTCGGGTGCAAGAGGCAAGATAACTTGTCCGCGCATCGAAGAAACCTTGTTTGCTCGGCTGAGACATCACTCGAAGGAGTTGCGGTGGGGGCTGACTTCGACGAAGTCCTGAATGGGCTCTCGCAGCATCTGCGGCCGCGTGCAGCGCGCGTCGACGAGAGATACGAAGCGTCTGGCGCGGAAACCCGACTCCACCCGAGAGGTCCGGGACCCTGGCAGAGCTGAAAGGCGCGCGCGAGTACGGCGCCCCCGCCTGCACCCTGAAGCCAAGCTCGCTCCGCGCTCTGTCGCGCGCGAACGCCTCCCCTGTGACTCCGCGGCTTTGTTGCATAGACGCCGATGGGTTCCATTAGGTTCGTATACAAACGATGGCTTCCGTAGAATGTTTGAAGGGGAGACGCTTGAAGCAAAAACATGTAAGGAAAACGACGGATGAAAGGCATCGAGGTTAAACAGGCGGACGTTTGGTTGGCTGTTCCGCACGGAGCTGAGGGGATGCAATCATGAAATATAGAACTAAAATTCAAATGGATAGAGAGTTCACCTGCATTGTAGTCGAAACATGGTATCTGGTATCTGTGAACGTTGACTTCATGAAAGTAATCATAAGCATTTCGCTTCTGGCGTTAATAAAGCCGGTAAAACGTCGTGTACAGGAAAAAAATCACAGCATATCCACGGGGTGAATGATGATGAGTGGGGCGAAGCGTCCGTCTGTCCGTCCATCCATGCATGCACCCATGCGTTCGAGATCGCGTTCCAGAATGCAGACGGCGCGCGGGCAACACCGACGAGACGTGAGCCAAGGAAGCCGAACGCAAGCGTCTTCAACGCGCCCGCCGCTGTGCTCCGTCCATGCACCACCAACGATCCGCCACTGTACGGCTACTATCCAGGAGACTGAGAAGCCGTACTCGTTCTCCGCGTACTCAGGCACAGCCGGTGCAGCAGCCAATCGAAGAGTACTTGTACAGCGCCATCTAGAATATCGTCACACAACTGCAATTTGTATGTACTTCTATGAGACAGCGCCGTATATTACACTGTTCGGGAGATACTGCCTTCTTTTCTTTCTCGTCTCTTCTCTCGGTTACGCGTGACGCATGACAAGGTAAGACTAAGAGAAGCTTCGCCCCTAAAACGGAATCAGGGGATATGATAAAAGGTAGCCGAACATGCGCGATAACGCATGCTATATAATGTGCAACCATACTTATTATTCAGTTGATGCAGTGAGTGGTATTAGAGATCTATATTGATGACCGGCACGTGGCACTCAGAAACTTGAGCATTATGTGACAAAGTATAATACAAGTGCTGGAATAGTACCCTCGTCCTTTTGACTCACTGAGAGCACTGCAACCGTTTACGCAACGGAGAATGTGGCGAGCTGGGTTACGCTACATTCACATCACAATTCGGTCGAATCACTTCCTGTGTACTTTCCTTGGCATTATTGTCTGTTAGATCTCATTAATATTGTTTCAAAGCACGGAAAAAAGGAGCCCTTAAGCATACACTTTATATGTATATATAATATATATATATAATCTGGTGTTATATAAATATATATATATATATATATATATATATATATATATATATATATATGTGTGTGTGTGTGTGTGTGTGTGTGTGTGTGTGTGTGTGTGTAAGGGAAAGAAGTGTATACCTAAGGGCTCGTTTTTCCGTGTTTTGACACAATATTAATGAGATCTAATGGACAGTAATGCCAAGGAATGTAGAGGGGAAGTTATTAGAACAAATGGAAAGTAAATCAGAAGAAAAGCGGGTGAAAAAATAACCAGCCGTGAGCAGGACACGACCCTACGACCTTCGAATAACGCGTTGGATGCTCTAACCACTGAGCTACCACAGCGGCCTTCCCTCCATCCACTTTTTTGGGTTTATATGTGAATTTAGAAGTAGGAGTGTCAGTCAGCGCCATCTATAAGTGAAGCGGCGAGTGTGAAACACTTTTTTATGCGCATGTGTGGCGTAACGTAGCACGTGAACTTATTACGAGCGGGCAGCTGACCAATAGTCCCTCGTATACAACCTAATGACACCAAGTCTGCCAGTACGAGACCCTCGTTAATGAATAAGGGAAAGAAGTCTATACATAAGGGCTCGTTTTTCCGTGTTTTGACACAGTATTAATGAGATATAACAGACACTAATGCCAAGGAATGTATAGGGGAAGTTATTAGAACAAATGGAAAGTAAATAACAAGA